AACCCGTGTCCCCTGCATTGGCAGGTGGACTCTCAACCACTGTGCCACCAGGGAAGCCCCCTAATCATTACTTTTTAAAGTAATGAAATAGAAGAAAAACATTCACTGCCCTTTATGTAATAAAATATTAATTGTTTTCTTTTGTTCTCCTGGATCCTTTTTTCTGAGTGAAATTAACTTGGCTCCTTTTCCTTTGCATTCTCTATACTTTAAAAAAGAAAAATGTGGAGGCTCTCAGGTTCTTAGTGGTTCTGAAAAGTGATCAGAATTTTTTTACGTGTACCTCTCCCGAGATGTGAGCCCAGCTCGGCTCACCTATTTTTGGTAGAATGTGAGGAAAGATGAAGGTGGAGATCTTTCTGTAAAAGTTGTTTTCATCCAGCTGTTCTATCAAGATGTGTATTCTCTGTGCCTGCCCCCCCCCCCTCATATTTTCAAAGGAAGTAGACACAAGGTAAAATTCAGATATGTAAATATTGTTTACTGCCTTGCCACTTAGGAAGCCTGTTAAGTTTTTGAACTCTTAATTGTGCTTCTTGATAACTCCTGTGCCTCAGCTTAAGTGCTTCATACTGTAATAAAATGCATTTCTGGCTTATGAAATCATGAGTCTTGCCAAATGGGCTCTGTTTGTACTTTGTTGTTTAATGGTCTTTGGCCCCAGAGGCTTTATTTTAGAAGAAACTGATTTTGTTACTGAGTGATTTCATTCTGACCATGATTTAGAAGACTAGTTTTCAAATTCTTCATCAGGTACTAACCCTTAGTTTAACAAAAGAATTTGTCGGTCCCTATATTTAAAAAAAAAAAAATCTTCTGCAAAATCTTACCTGAACATATCAATGGCTGGAGGGCCTGAAACCCTTTTGACTGGGCAGTTCCTTCTTCTTAGCAGTGGCCGGGGACAGGGCCCCAGCAGAACCCCAGGCTGTCGCAGAGCAGGCTGCCAGTCTCTGATCTGGAGGACTGTTGTAGCTCACCTGTCTCTTTCTCCTGCAGGTGGGGAAGAACGTGGACAAGTGGCTCTGGATGCTTGGCGCCCATCGCGTGATGTCCCGAGGGGAGGGTGACTGCAACGTGGTTAAAAGCAAACATGGCAGCATTGAGGCCGACTTCACAGCGTGGAAGGCTAGGTTCATCTCCCGGCTACAGGCGCTCTGTAAAGGAGAGAGAAAACCCTGTGGTGGCAACTGCAAGAAAGGCAAGTGCGAGTCTAATCAGCACGGCTCAGAGGCAATGGAGCCAGGGTCTCACGCTCAAGAGGGATTTCATCAGAGAGATGCTGAGGTACGGAGCCCACGTGTCCATGTCTCCCTGTTTTCCTCCTGCATTTGGAGGTGCTGAACCTTTCCTCTGTCCTGGGAAGCTCTTTCCTTGGCCTCTGGTTAGAACGAAGAGCTGAAACTCATGTGGGGATGTTCTAGAGAGAGTGGGATCTTAGGATAAGCTATGTTGTGCTGGATGCTTTCCTAAATATGTTCTTTAATTGTTGCATTGCTGGAACCCAGTAGCTTTCTACCCCAGTTTGCAGGTTAGGAAACGGGTCTGGAGAAGTTGAATATGTCCCGGGCTGAGCTCATGTCTTTTTACCCCCAAACCACATATTCCTCCCAACCTCTTTTATTTAATGACTCGATTAATCACTCAAACTTGAAGGCTGCAAATCATCCCAGATTCCTCTCTTTCATCCCTCACATTCTAAAAATTTCTCTTTCTTCAGATACCCCAGTTCTTTTGAAGCTCGTGTTACATCAGGCTATATCACTACTGTTGTCTTTGGGCCACCTGGTCACTTGCATCATTTGGGAACAACTTGACATTCTGACTCCCTGTCTTTCTCACCACACTTGTTCCTGTCATTCCTCGTTGTGGCTGAGCCATCCACATAGATGATTTATCCTGTCCCTTTCCTGGCCTTCACACCCCCAGGAACCATTTTCTCCAGTGACCTCGGCCTCCCACTTCCGTGCTCACCTCTGACATTTCATGTCCCTATGACCTGAACTCTGAGCCCTCTCTGGTGCTCTTACTTTAAAGTTCTTTGGACCCCACGTTTTTTTCACAGGGTAGTGCTAACTGCTTATTTCACTTCTGTCTTTACCCAGTTTGAATTTTATACTCGTTCTCTTAAAAACATCTTGAATTCGCTTGCCATCCACTCCCTCTTCCAACCCAGTTGGCTAAGCCCCAAGCCAGGGTGGAACCTGTCTGCCTCCTCTTTGACCACAGATTGGTGACCACGGGCTCAGGTGTGCAGCCAGAACTGCCCCCAGTCTCCAGCATCCTCTCACTCTCCGAGACCACTGTTCAGTGCTCTTTTTCCCCCACCCCTTCCTCCAGCTCTCATAGGAAGCCGACAGAGAATTCTCTTAGAGCCTCCCCACGCTGTCTACAAACCCTGCCATCTTTTCTGCCACAGAGACCAAGTATATAGTTCCTGTCAAGCCCACTCTGTGCATGCTCTGGGATCAAGGACTTTGTTCCCTTTGTTCCTTCATATATTGTGTGTCTCTCCCCTGCACTGTTAATCTCTCTCTCTCTACTAGGTGGTCCCCTAGTGCTCTGGAATCACCTGTGTTTAAACAAACACAGAAAGCAAATAAGAAACAAGCCTTTCCTTTGTCCTGTGCCTTTCAGCTGCTGTTTCATTTTTCTGCTCTTTTTCTAGCCAGTCTTTTTGCTTTCATTTGTTTATCTTCCCTCCAGTTGGCTCCTACCATTTTAAAAAACTTAAAAAATATTTGAGGTAAAATTTGCAAAGCAGAAAATTAACCATTTTAAAATACATACAATCTAGTGGTATTTAGTACATTCCCAATTTTGTGTAACCACTGCCTGTATCAAGTTCCAATACTTTTTCATCACCTCAAAAAAAAAACCCTTACCCATTAAGCAGTCACTCTTCCCTCCCTTTCCCTCAGCCCTGACAACCTCCACTTTGCTTTCTGTCTCTATGGATTTACTTATTCTGGATATTTTATACAAGCGGAATCATTAATATGTGACCATTTTTGTCTGACTTCTTTCACTTAGCATAAAAGAGGTTCATCCATGTTGTAGCATGTGTCAGTACTTCATTCCTTTTTACGGCTGAATAATATTCCATTGAATGGAATTGTTGATCCATTTATCTGTTGATGAGAATTCTGTTTTTTTCTACCTTTTGGCTATTGTGAATAGTGCTGCTATGATATTCATGTACAGGTGTTTGTTTGAGTAACTTTTCAGTTCTTTTGTGTATATACCTAGGAGTGGATTGCTGGATCTTGTGGTAATTCTATGTTTAACTTTTTGAGGAACCACCAAGCTGTTTTCCCCAGTGGCTGCACCTTTTTTCTTTTTGCGGCACGCGGGCCTCTCACTGTTGTGGCCTCTCCTGTTGCGGAGCACAGGCTCCGGACGTGCAGGCTCAGCGGCCATGGCTCACGGGCGCAGCTGCTCCGCGGCATGTGGGATCCTCCTGGATCGGGGCACAAACCTGCGTCCCCTGCATCGGCAGGCGGACTCTCAACCACTGCGCCACCAGGGAAGCCCC